GATGAACCTTTTTGCCCTTCTCTGTTAGTTCATATGTTTTTAATATAAATGAAGAGTGCAGTAGGATTTACTTGGATCCTTCTTTAAAAAAGTTTTGTGTATGTTTGTTTTAAGACAGATGCTTGAAATATTCCTGACTTTGTTGTATTGCAGAAAAGTATTTGTACCAACAGCACTTTCATGAGATGAATATGGAAGCAAATTTTATTTATGGACTTGCACAAACCCATTAATGTAACTTTCCATTGTAATGACAACATTGTTTGAATATACAGTGAAGTGTGAAACTCTTTTTTGAGATACTTTTTTCATTACTGTTATGCTTTTCTGTAGATTTTACAGTGACCTTTGAATTCAAAAGGTGAAACATTTATAAGCACTGTGTACCCTAATATCTACTATGTGTCCAGGGCCCCATCTGGCCTGACCTACAATACCTCCAGGAATGGGCATCTCCAGATTCTCTTGGCAAGCTGTTTCAGTACATCACCATCTACATACTAAAGATTTTCTTTGTAATATCTAACTGAAATCTCCCCTCTTTTAGTTTAAAGCCATTCCCCCTTGTTCTATTACAATCAGACCATGTAAGTAGTCAACCTCCTTCCTGTTTAAAAGTGTCTTTAAGCACTGGAAGGCCACAATGAGTTGTCTTCTCTAGGCTGGACAGGCCCAGCTCCTTTGACATCTCTTTATAGAAGAGGTGTTTCAGCCCTTTGAGCATCTTAGTGGCAGTCCTCTGGACTCACTCCAGCAGCTCCACATCTTTCTTGTACTGGTGGTCCCAGACCTGGATGTAGTACTCCAGATGGGGCCTTACAAAGGCAGAGTAGAGGGGACAATCACCTCCCTCACCCTGCTGCTATCCCTCCTTTGATGCAGCCCAGAATACAGATGGTGTTCTGAGTTACAAGCATGCGCTGCTGGCTTGCATTGAGCTGCTTGTCCACCAGAACCCCCAAGTCCTTCTCTGCAGTGCTTCTCTCTGTGAGATCTCCCAGCCTGTGCACGTTATTGAGATTGTCCTAACCCAAGTGCAGCACCTTGCACTTGCCATTGTTAAACCTCATTCAGTTCTTGTAGGCCCACTTTTCAAAACTGTCAGGTCCCTCTGGATGGCATCCCTCCCTTCTGTTTTATCAACTGTACTACTCAGCTTGGTGTTATCAGCAAAACTGATGAGAGTACACTCAATCCTACAGCATGTGTCGTTGATAGAGATGTTGAAGAGCACCAAGAAGTGCCAAAAAGGACCCCTGGGGAACACCACTTATGGCTGGTCTTCCCCTGGACATAGAGTCATTGATAACAACCTGTAGTTGCGTCTATCCAACCCATGTCTTATTCACTGAACTGTCCACTTATACTTTTAATAACTTATCGTAGTATTGGTTGCTGTTTACTTTTATGTTGACGCTTCTATGGAGACCTAATTTCAAAACATCTCCTAGTGTTTTTAAAAGTAAAATAGTCTTTTGAACTTGGAAGTAAATCAAAAGTTGTTTGTTGCTGAGTTATGGTACAGCTGTTGTACCAATACTGTTTATTAGCTTGCTGATAAACAATTAAAATAATTACTAAGTTTTTATACCTGTTTAGTGTTTCCCTCATTGTATAACCATTTAGGAACAGACACACACTACTTAGCAGAGCATAAGTTCAGTTTCTGGACATAGACTGTTCAGAGCATTTCAGTGCTGTATAGATTAATGCTATAAACTTCAGCCTGTGAAACCAGGTCTCTGTGGTGCCTAGAGTGGGGATCAGGCCACTTGCAGGTAATCTGAAGTGATTCTTTTTTCTCTTTGGTGACTATAAGGAGAATTCAAGGAGTACAGCCTTGCAGGATTTAAGTTAATACTTGTGAAAACTTTAGCACCAGTGCGTACTCAAATAAACAGGCTCTATTTTGCACAGATGGCTCCTATTTATTTTTGTCCCACTAATAAGAGCATTTCAGTTCTCTGTTGTAACAGAGTTCTTGGTTATGGCTGAAAGAGATGTTGTTTTTGAAGTCACACAGTAAATACTAACAGTATTTAGTATTTTAATACCTGTGACTGGCTGTATCCTTATTATAAATCTAGCTCAAACCGATCAACCTCAGTACTCGAGTACTTTAGATGATCATTTAGGTACTTCTTCCCAAATTTCTGTATAATTCTCTAATGAGCACTCAGACTGGAAACACAGTGCAACTATTAGGTGTACATTTGTAGCACTTCGTAAGTTTAAGAAAAATGAAATTGGAAACTTTATCAGAATAATGATATTACTTTGTTTAGAATCTCTTTTGAAATCAACAAAGTATGAAATCTGAAGAACTACTTTTTTACTTGCTAATGCTCTAAAGCGTTGGCATATATCTACCAAAGACTGCATTGACAACGTATTCTTGAGTCCTTCAGGGTTGTGTAGGCAAGGCAAGTGTATTCATTTTCATCTGTGTATCTTGTGAAGAAGGACCTATACTATCATGATGTCATGACAACTTGCTGTGATAAAACACTGGAGACTTTTTTCAGCTGAGCATCTGCATTTAAATGTGTGCTATTTTATATGAAAATCTGACAGGAATGTATTTATCATGTATAATTTTTAAGTCACCTAAAGTTGTTTGCAAGTGTATGAAAAAATTAGTCCTGTATTGTTGGCAATACTCAGCGTTTATCTTCAGGCTATGCAGTGTTAATTAAAATGTTTGTTTTCATTTATGGAAGTGTTAATAGTGTAATTCTGTGCTTGTAAAACGTGTATTGAGTTAAAAATGCATTGAAATAAGAGCTGTATATTGCTTGTAATACCTTCACAAGGGAGTCATATAGTCATTATGACGTATATTTCACAAAATAAAACAGTAGCTGCGTACAGGAAAACTGAGATAAAAGAGTTAGTTCATTTGCATGATTTTCATAACCTAGAGTATAGAATTTCCATAACCCTTTCCTCTATTCAGTCACCTTTAGAGGAATGAGCTGCTTCAGAAAAAACTTGTTTATTTTTAAATACAGCAGTCAGGAGAAGAACACTGACAAGCAGATGCAGAATATTTCCAGTATAGACATCTTAGCTGTATTACTGGAGAGTGGTAAATAGTGTGGACATTTTCACTTTCAACGTGCCTTTGTTTGTAACACAGACTTTTAAAGTAGTAAATATGATGATTTAAAAAAAAAACACAAAAAGTGGTCAGCAAGTGTAGAACTTGAATGTCTGCTGTCATGTAGATATCTGAAAGTCTGTTGAGCTTAGTAGACTTAACTGAAAGGAGTAATTCCATCTTCAAAGGCACTTGGGGCTGATAGTGATATTTTACAGAAGCTGGACAATGCTTTGCAAGGCCACTGACCTTTGAGTGTACTCTCTCAGCAGACTTTGTAGTCAGATGTCCCTCTCACGCAATTCTGAAATATTTAAATCTTTAAAAGAATGATTTACCTGAACAGGAATGTGTTTTGAAGCTTCGTATAAAGACTGTATGAAGTTAACCACATTCTTGATCTGTCCATATTTCATGTTTGGAAACTGTTTTACAGTATATTTAGGTTTTGTTATTTGTCATGTACTTTCCTATTAGCTGCCTCAGTGACTTAGATTTGCTTAGAGCAAATTGTATCATCAGTTACCTCCGTTAAAGTTGCAGATTACTAGGGGAACTTGTAAAATATCACAGTATTTTTACGTGGATTATGTTATCGTTGGTAAAAAGACTACAAATACAAGACTTCCAAAGAATGTATCCATGCAGAGCTGTAACTTCTATCATGTGAAAAATACATAGGTAGACATTGAGCTGACTTATGTCCACAGTACTTTTATTGGGCCTGTTTTCCTAGCATTTTAGAAAGGATTGATTTTGTTAACAAAGCTGACAATAGCTTGCAAATCATGTTACAAGAATCTTATTTACTTTGATTCCTAGGCAAGTGCTGGTTTGACAATCATGTTACTATAATGATCTCTCTCTCCAAAATATATATTTGATTGTCTACCTGTGAAGATTATATGCAATTTCAGAAACTGAAGATGATAGGAAAACATCAAGCATTAATAAGGAATCTTGAAATAATTTTTAGAAGTTGTAGTTCCATTTGCTGATAGAGAATGTACCAATCATTTAAAGGCATTCATGATGTTACACATTTAATGTAAAAGCTCCTAGTCTCTAGTTTGTTTTAATGCTAAGCATGTTGCTCTGTTTGCTGATATTTTAAAAGAAAATTTTTAGCAAGCAGTATATGCTAACATGGAAAAAAGACTATTTAGGACAACTAGTATTGTAGTATCATATAAGAAAAATACTGGGCAGTAGAACAAAATGCTGGCTGGGCTTTTCAAATAGCTAACAATGATATAAGCGCTTTGCTTGTAGACATAAATAAAAAGTTAAGATTGTTTGGAAGGTATACAGCTGATTCTCTAAAAACCTCTGAAATATTTCAGTAGCTCTGTCTTCTATTGATACTGAGAATGAATGTGCTGATAAATGGAAGGATTGCCCATTTTCATTGGCAGTGTTTGTTGCCTTTGCATTGCAATGTTATGGAAGTTTTGAAACTCACCCATTCTGCTCTGTGGGAGTACAATAAAGATTATGGATTAAAGCACTATGAAACAGCCTGTGGACATCTGAATTTATGAATTGCTTGTAGAGTGGAAAAAGTGATTTTTTGCAATATGGTGATAATGGATTGGCATCAATAATAATTATTATATTAATGTTATTTCATTAGTAATTCTGACCTATAAATTACTGTCTGACAGCAATTCAGGAGATAAAGTTGTTTAGTTTCTTTCCTACAGTTAGTAAAACTTGTTTTGACTCATTGGATTTTGTTCAGCATCACAAATCAGCTTTCTGTGGGATTTTTCAGAAACAAGGGATACTTGCATTGAAATTAGGGAAAAAATCATCCTTAAGCATATCATATATGATTTATCAAATGCTCTAATGATCTGAGAACACAAGGAATTACTGAATAAATACTGTTTTATTACAGACTGACAGGAAAGAAAGAAGTGATGCTTTGAATACTGCAATAGACAGTATGTGCAAGAAGACGAGAGATCTTCGCAGACAGGTAAATCTCCTGGGGAACTGGTAGAAAAAGTAGACTTAAGGACTTCCCTAAACTGCAGTTTTCAGATGTTATGGCACTACATTTTGTAAATAAACCTTTCTTCTATGTTAGAGAAATACTGAAGATAATTACAGCATATATGTCCAGATTTTCAAAACTGTGCAAAAAACCCTACCACATTTAGATGTTGGCAGAGTATATGTATGTAGACCTGTGCACACGTCTAAGTGTGTGTGTATGTATACATTTTCTAGAAGCATATATTGGTAATGTGCTTTGGAAAACAATATTAGTTTTATTCTAAAAGTACTTGAGTTATCATTCACTTGATTTTTGAATATTTGTTAGAATACATACCTTGAAGGGACCACTGAGTCTATGTCTTGTTCTTCCTTTTTCTGGGAGATTAAGCAACAGACAAAGGTACTGGGAATACTTGGTCCAGAGTCAAACCTCATGTTTTGTATCCCATTATCCTAAGGCTTTGGTGTACTGCAGAACATGAGCAGTGGGCAATCAGTTCTGTATACATTGTTGCAGCTGCAAGAAGCATCTTTGAGAAAATTGTTTATGGTGCTGAAAGTGTAGGAAGTTCCAGCTTAGAAAGGAGAGTTGAAAAGCTTGTAGTACTTTCAGCCAAGCAGTCCCAGCCATCCGTGTGAAAATTTATGGCCACACAAAATGTGAACACACATGGCTTTTATCCTATCTGGCACTGCCTGTTTGTCAATTCTCTGGCGGAAGAAAATCCGTCCCAACTTTGTATACAGTCTTACAACCCAACTCTTATGTTTTATGATGGTAAATAAATCTTTTCTGTCTCCCATGGTCATTCAGGAGAAACCTTGAAAAATAAGACAACTGTATTATGGTATTTGCAGCTAACTAGCTATCTCATTTCCTTTCACATTTCATCAAAATTACATTCAGTTCAGACACCCTTGTGATGCAGGCGTTCATCATGAGTTCTGTTAACTCTTCCCTTGTATTATGCTGTCTCTTCCACAAGTAAAGTAAGCTCCATCTTTTCATTGACTCAAGAAATGTCTCTGTTGCAGCATTTAAAATTTATTTTAAAAAATTACATTTGTACAGAAGCCTTTGTAAAATGATTGGGTTGAATGCAGTTATGCTCAGCTAATTCATAGTTTAGAACTAGTATCATCCACCAGAGTATCTCTGTGGCTTTTTGATATTTTTCTAGAGGGTATGTATAAAGAAATACTTCCTGTACTTAGACAACATCCTCCTCCTGATTGCATCTCTTTCACTTACAAGTAGGAGATGAATTTTAATCACCACTGTACCTTCCCTGATAGCACCTGCCAGAGCCGCGGTTGCTATTGTTCTTTGTTTACTTGTCTTGCTATATTTCTACTTAATTCTTAGCATTTTGCTCTGCAGGTGGTCAGTGCCAAAAACAGATATACGGAGTAGTGGAAAAAAAGATTGTTAGGGTTAGACTGAAGAGAAATTGATACTACTTCAGGCAGTTCCTTTTCCTTTCCTTGTTTTACATTGCATTTCTTCATTCTTTAATAGAACACAGGCTAAATTTGAAAATCTCAGCTTCGGGTGTTTCTTAGCATAGTTAAAATAAGAACATGTTTCAAACTTCTTTGTATTCAGCAAAGACACAGCACTATCATTTTTAGAGAAAGATATTCTGTTTTCTGAACTGCAGGATGGAGGATTTCTTGAAACAAAATAATACTGATAATTTATATGTGGAAGATTAATTAATCCAACCACACCAGTAAAAAGCGACAGAAAATAATTATTTGATGAGAGAGAAAATTAGGCTTCTATTTTAAAACTGAACACCTAAAATTCACCACGAATGTGACTGAGGTTAGCAGTCCTAAAATAATGTAGTGAGACTGCAAAATTACTATAGCCTGGGTTATGTCCCCAAACCGAAACATTTCTCTTGGAGATAATGAATTGTAAACCCTTGATATGGTTCCACAGTGTTTTGCTGTTGATATTATGAATGAAAATCTGTATTTTAGACTCTGATTCCTCAAGGTCACATTTATGTACTTACTATTAATGAACGTGATGTACATTGAGGGGAGTGTATCAGTTTCCTTTGGTTGGACACAAATTTTAAAAGATGATTTGGCAGGAGGTTCAGTGTATTTTGATCCTGGTTGTCTTCATTTTTAAAATAGCAGAACTGGTATGGATGTGACTGTTCAAAATAAATAAATAAATAAATAAAATTATAGCATCCAGTACTATGTTGGTATCTCATAACTTCTGCCTTTGCAAGTGACTTTTGAGAGCGTACAATCCAGATTGAGTTGCCTAAAGCAATACATTAAGTAAGTCAGGTGACAAAAGCATTAAGCATTTTAAACTAATTTTTTTTTGAAGGTTTTTATATATTAAGTAGTTTTTCTAGCTGTATGAATCTTTACTTTTGCAGAGTTTTCACATAAATACATTAAGGCTGTATGCTAAATGGAAAGCATTTCCTTTAGCAATAAACCTGCCAGCATGTAGGAGCTTAAAATAATTTTGTTTTTTTTTCTGTTCAATCAATATCTTCTATACTTATTACAAAAATATTTTTTTGCTGTAAGAAAGTCAGTAAGCTTGATAATTCACATCTATTTCACGGGTAGTTTTGATCATTGTATTTCATGCCATGTTGTCTGATTAAAATGAATAGTTGGCACGTGTAGGTTTATAACATGGAAATTAACCTCTCAATCATGTAAGATTACATGAAATCTAATTTAAGAGAGCTAGTTTGTATCTGGATGTGATATTTCTTTAATAATTTAGAAGAGAAGTTCAAGAACCATTATTTGAAAAAGGAAAAATTGAACTTCAGAATTGTTTACAATTCTCTTTGCTCTATTAGTCTGTTGTCGGGTGGCATAATTAGTAATTCAATGGAGATAACTACTGTGAAAGGTAGCATATAGCTAATTGGATTATATTGTTGGGTTTTCCAGCAAGGCAGAAAAATGTTTGGGTAATTTTGCAATTAGGAAATGGTGATGCAGAGCATTTTGTGAGTAAAAACATAGTTAAAGGAATACTTTTTGTAAAAATAAAATAGCCTTCTCCCTTGACATCTGAACTACAAGTAAAAGAACATGGGAGACAAAACTAGAATTGGCCTACCGGTGACTTTTAATGTATGGGATCATTTAAGTAGTTTATTCTGTTCATCAAAGAACATGAGTATTTGTTTGACTCTATTGATTTTTGAGAGGACTAATACAACTTTTAAGTGTTTTATGTTACCGTACACACACTCATTTGGTGCAGATTTATGTACTGGTAGGTTAAAACTATCCCTAGCTCTAGAGAGTATTTTCTGTTTAAATGGAAAAACTGTAGTTCTAGTCATGTAACCTGCCCTTAATGCAGGAATGCAGTGTGTACATGTTTATGTTATAGTAATATATAATGACAGTGAACTTTACTCACAAATGCAATTTGTTAATACGTAACACAGTGTGTATGTAGTAGAATTTCATAAATAGCTGATATTAATATAATGCTTTGTTTTGCAGCTTCGTAAAGCCATTATAGATCACATCTCAGACTCCTTCCTAGATACCACTGTTCCGCTTCTAGTTCTCATTGAAGCTGCTAAAAACGGAAGAGAAAAAGAAATAAAAGAATATGCTGCTATATTTCGAGAACATACCAGCAGACTTGTGGAGGTATGTTTGATGGTCTTGCACTTCTTTTTTTTCTAACTGCATGGCCTAAGTAAATTGCCTCTGCAGTATTCCCTTTGGTGCCAAATACCATGGAAGAATTAAGGTGGTATTTCAGGTAAGAAAGCATTAATGGCCTAGGGCCATAGTAAACATACTCTACTTGGGTACATTATGTACATAGTTTATATTATGTAATGGTATGTAATAAGATAATGGATTTTGTGGTAGTGACAATTTATACTATTTGAGTAGAAATTTGATGGAGGGGAATTCTGCTTTGATAAATTATTGTATGCATTTCCACAGAAATATTCTTTGAGAACTTTATGAAATGTGTGATTTTTAGGGAGTAATAGCTTAAATTATTACAAGACAATTGTTCTAATACGTAGTAGGCTAACCTTAGTGTATATGTTAATACATAGTGTGTGTGTGTATATATTTATGTTGTAACTTCATATAGAGCCTACAGTGAACGTATTGTTCACTGTACTTAATGAAATGTTTTAAGTAACTGGCTTTCATAGAGACTGCACACAGTGCTGTGTGCTGTTGTATGATTAGTTGTTCTAACTTGTCTCTTTACTGGTGTTTACATCATGCACAGCTATTCAAAATGAATGTACAATTGAAGTTACCTTCTGGATATCTAACACAACTGAAATAATGAATTTGAAAATTCTTATATTGCTTTAAAGTACTTTATTTCTCAGGAGCTTGTTTGATATTCAGTGGCTTTTTGTTAAACTATGCTCACCAGAACATTAGTTAGATAGTAGTTACGCTGCATCCATCAGCTGCTAGCCTACCAGAAGTAAAACAAACAAAAATGAAAAAGTATTAATGGCTAAGCGAGTGGTCACTAAGAGACCTTGTACCTACAAGCAGACTTATCTGATTTCAAATAAAAAATCAGTCATTTTCAACAGTGTCAGCAAAGAAAAAGAATATGGCAGATGTCCTGTGGAAAGTGAGATCACAATTCAATTAATATAAATCAAGGAGCATTTGAATACACTAAAGCAGTGAATTGGAAGCGTATTTTGTTTTTTTGCATTTCAAAAGCTGTTACTTGGAAAATACTTCTTTTTCTAAATGAAAGTTACATTGCACTGTACCGTTGCTTTAATTTACCGAGTATCACAGCAGGTAGATAGAATTAGATCTTAGTAATCTTAATTTTCTGCAGCTTGTTTTTGAACCGAACATGGTTCCGTGGGTAATTGATAGCCCAGAGAGATCAGATACAGGTAAACGAGTTACCAGAGAGCTTGATCATGCAAGAAAGACAAGACAAATGGGAAGGAAATAAATGAGTTTTGAATCTTTGGCACTTGTATTATCCATTTTATTTATCACTTTACTTACTTTTCTGTGGTGAAACTTCTGTTTATAAGTATCACTTGTCCTCTTTGGGATGGCTTCCATGACTTTTGTTGGGGATATATTTCATAATGCGATGCTGTTTGTGCAATTTTGAGTTGGATATCACGTAATTGAAGATCTAACTCTGTAGAATGTTTCCAGATTCCATGAAGTTTTCATGCATCATTGCATTTGATTAGAGTGTTCTTAAATAGCACATATTATTTCCATGTTTGCTGGAGAGTACTCCTACAGTTCTCAGGTTAGGAAATAAATAATAATAAAAAAAAAAAGCTGGAATACTGCTCACCATTGCAGAACTGAGCTTCAGCTTCCCTGTAATTGAGAATAATTGAAGTGACTTACTAAATATGACTGTGGGCAGTATATGCCATATAGCTATGGAATAACAATGGGCATGACAGTTACAGGTAAAACACTTTAAACAACTAAGTGAAATTACTTGCAAAGAATTACATAAGACAGCAACAATACATCAAAAAGCTGATAGATAAGGTAGATGAGATGTCAGACACAATTGTAATATCAATAGGAAGGCAGTTTTAGCATCTACGTGTAGTTCTCATATATAAGGAGTTCTGGTGTGGGCAACAGATCATACAGCAGAAGCCAGTGGTGGAAATGCAGCAGTCCATATTATATATTATATACAAAATACTCTAAGAAGAAAAACTTTTTTTGGGGCGCAAATACACTTTATGGAACATATGACCTCTCAAAATTAATTATAAGCTGTGACGCCTGGAAAGCAGCTCAGATGCTAGCAATCCCTATTTTCTGCCTTGGAGAACAGCCCGGAATGCAGTTGTCCTTGTGGGCTGCAAGCACACCCTACTAATACTAGATACTTTTTATTTTTTTCCCCTAAATAACTGTTCACTTTCTCTAGATTGAGTGTCACCCTCTGTTTTACTATCTCGTCATTCAGTATTCTGATATCTCTTTGCAAATCTTCGTAAGTAATTATTTTCTTCTCTGAATACCATGGGGAAAAAAAAAGTAATAAAAAATTGAAGGTTAATGGCGATACTATGCCCTCAGTGAGATTTCTGGCTTACAGTTTTTTGCTGAATTTCCTCTAGATTTATTTCTGAGGTCTGGGGAAAAAAAAAAAAGAAAAAGCTAAATCTCTGTCAGCTGTGACTTCCTGGTTACTCTGCTGCTTAGGTTGTTCTTGAAGGAGTAGCAGGATCTACGTGCCTGGATCTGATTCTGGAATACATAATACAGCTAACAGTCAAGCACTTTCGTGGCAACCTCATGAAGGCCATGTTTCAGTTGCTGAGTATATGAAAACAGGTCTGTCCATTTCTGCTTGATATTAGCATTGCTCCTGTAAAACATAATTATGACATTAAAAAAAAAGAAAGGGAAATAGAAAGCTTTTTTTAGTACATAAAGATAAATTTTGCAATTCAACATGTGTTATAAAGTCAGATGTATGCACTGTCAGCTGAAATTCTGTCCAAAGAAAAACATCATCTAGAGATTAGTTTCTGTAAGTAATTTCATTAAAAATATTACTGTTCCAGTTGGTCATGCTCCATAAACATTGTTTAGCTGAAGTGATGATGCTAGTGTTGCACCAATGAGTAATTAGATTATATCAATTCAAAACAGAAACAGTAAAGCATAATATAACACAGCATTCATAATGTATTTTCAAAATCATCAGTGAGCCAACGTTTGAATCAACAGTTTTCTTAGTCTAATTAGCCCTTTGTAGAAGTTAGTGCACGTTATCACTTTCTATGATTGTCAGTTTTAAATATTACTGCTGTTGCTGAATGATTTTACTTGTAACATTTTCATTTGCTTGCAGAAATTTGTAAAATTTTTTTAATCCAGACCAGCAAGACCTGTGTATTTGTATATTCAGCTCTCCACTTTTGCAGAAATTGATTTTAATACAGCTGCCAGTACATCCAATGGTGATAGATAATGTAGTGAATTTTATGTTGTAGCATTGAGATGCGAGTCCGTTTTAAGAAGTAAACAAACCACTGGTATTTGTGCTATTTCTAGTTTAAGTCTTCACTTCTCAATTCAGATTAAAATAAATGATAAGAATCCTTTCTCTGCATACCAGTATTCTCTACCACCAGTATTGCTTTATTCATTTGGTTTGGTCTGTCCTCCTTTCTCAGTAGAAAAAGTCGGGTATTCTGAGATTGTATTAGTCTTTTTTCAATATAAGACTTTATCTACTCCAACTTACTCTTAACCCAAGATAATGATTTCCCAAAGATGGTTTATCTTTGTAACTGCCTGTCCTTTTTAGTCTGAATAATACTAATACTAAAACTAATAATAGTTTCAGCTTCTATTTTCTAGATAGCTTAGGAGAGGTGAGATGAATTGTACCTTGGAAAGTGGTTTTTTTTTTTTGTAGACAAACGTTGTGTTGCATTTTCGTATGCTCCACATAGCAGTTTTGAATTTGATATCTTCACTGTCTTAGTGCATTTTTTCCCATCTATTTCTGAAAGATCAAGGATATTTGAATAGTAGGTTATGAGATAGTTTTCTGGATAAATACAGTAGACCAAGTTAGAGGTTGTAGGTTCATTTTCTTGCAAAGGTTTCCCCAGCAGGGAATTTGATATGGAAATTAGAAGTACTTCATTAAATATTGAGAGATGCTTTGTGGTTTCTATTTTCATCAGCAAATCAAAATTTCTCAAGGTATTTTCTTCCTTGTTTTCTTTTGTTATCTGTCTTCTGATTTTATTAACTGTTCTTTGGCCTAGAGGTTCTATCTTTTGTTTAAAGAAAAGTGCTAAGAGGCTTGGGATGTTATGTAGGTTGCTCCAAAAGTAATGTCTTCTATTTATTTCTGTGGAAGCTACAATAAAGAGCACAATAACACTGAGAAAGAGAATTCCCAGCAAAAAAAATGCAATTTTTCAACATGGTCACAGTAGTCAACATAGTCATTTGGCATTTTGGCCAGCAGTGAATGAAAGCATGCATGCCACGCTCATAAGTATCTGCACCAGCAGAGGTGACCCAGCTGTCACTGTCACTGCTGCTGAAACGCACCACCCACTGCCTTGCTGTGCTGACATCCATTGTTTGGCCTTTATAAATGTTCAGCGGGCATCAATGAATGTCAGTGGGTGCCATTTTTTCTGCATGGAGGAATTCAGTGGCAAGTCTTTCTTCATCTGCACTTCCATATTGGACACCATTCTGTCAGACTGCCCCTCTGCTGCCATTTGTCACATAGCAACAAGATCTAACAGGATATTGGTGGGAAGGTTCAACCTCTATTACCAACATCAGCTTCTGGTGTTGTGGGTGAGCAATACAAAACAAGAAGCATTACTTTCAGAGCAGTCCTCTTAATTACACCTTCCAGGAATATTAGTGGTGGAGTGTGGTGGTTTGTGAATGGTGCTGGGGTTTGAAGAGCTCAGGCAGTGGCAAGGTATTTGAGATGCCTAGGCTTACATCTTTGCACTTTTGCACAGTAATTTCTCAAAACTTAATCTCTTGGTTTTGAATGTAAATAGTGCCTTCAGATGTATAGAGGAAACAAAGTAATCCTAATTACATAGATTTAAAAAAAAAGAAAAAGAACCAAAGAAGCAAAGCACAAAAAAAACCAACCA